TCGGTCATGGATGCCGCGGAGGTCTCGAGCGCCGGTCGCGGCGTCGCGGGACGCTCCGCCACGGCGCAGCACGCGCAGCACGGGCGCGGCGTCGCCCGCGAGACCCACCGACTCGGCCGCTGCCTCGAAGCCTAGCGCCCACCACTCGCGGCAGGCGAATGGGAACACTCTTGCCCCCATCCGCTGCTTCGCAGCCGAGCCAGCAGCCTCTCCACGCACGGGAAGCTGTCCACGCTGTCCACCAGCACGGTCTCGTCGCGAGTTCCCGTCTTGGACGCGATGACGAGCTCCACAGACCCGATCGGCGGCCCTGCGCAGGGGGGGGCACCAGGCGGCAATCGCGAATCCTAAGCAGCTCGCACGGGCGCAAGTAGTGGGCGAAGGCGAGGATGACGGCGGCCGCGGGCCGCCAGCCCCCTGTCTCGGCCACGCGCCAACAGGCAGCGGCCAGGGCCAGTAGCAGGCCAGAAGAACGCCACCACAGCCACCGCCTTCGAAGCCGCATTCGACCTCCAGCCATCGTAAAACATTAGCGACGAAAGTCGAAAAGATTAGCGGCACGCATCCCCTTCAAGAACTCCGCGCACATCTCGCGACGGCGCAGGGCGGCGTCGGCATTGGCCCAGAGCGAGCCCGGGAGCTTCACTCTCGCCCGCCCCTCCACACTGGGAAGCACAATATCCAGAATCCTCTTCTCGATCAACTCGCCCGCGGGACCGGCGGCCCCTCCCGGCGTCGCGGGACGGAAGCCAGGCGGAGGCAGGTCAAGAAGGCCCACGCGAAGAGGCGCTAGGCGCGACGCAGAACCGTTGTAGGCCAGCATGGACCGAAGCTCGTCGAAGGTTCCTGGTCCGTCGAGGTCGTCGGGAAGCGGCCCCACAACTGCGCGTTTTCGGATCCAGAGGCGATGCAGCGCGAGTCTTCGCGCCAACGTAAGCCTCGAGAGCACGCGGGGGGGCCCCCGGCCCGGAGCCCGCGGGGATCGACATCTCCGAAAAGAGGTAAGGGAAAAAGGTCTCGCTGTCGGCGGCAAGCGTCACCGTCGCGGCCAGCGAATTCAGCCGAGAGGCCCCGCCTGGCCGGGGCCCAAGCCCAGGCGGGCGCCCGTCAAGCACCACTGCCAAGAGCGCGGCGTTCTTCGCGAGCCTTCCGCACCTGCTTCAGCGCACTCGCGCGCCTCTCGACCGACCGCGCCGCGAAGTCGAGCAAGTCGGGCGACGCCATCGCTTCACCTGCTTCGCGATGTCGCCCCATGAACTCCCCCCGGAGCCCAGCACGGCCTCGGCCTTTCCCCTGGTTCTCCGCCCCCGCCCCCCTCGGCCCCGACGCCATGACCTCCCCCCAGAAGTTCACGAGAGCACGCGCACTCGACGAGCTGGCACCCCCTCGCAACGACCTCGAGGCAAGCGCAGTCGACGATATTGCAGGGGCCCCGGGACACACAAATAAGTATACACAAATAACAAGATTCCCCAGATGTTCCTATATGTTCTGGGTTCTTGCGTTGCCCCTCACTTCCCACATGTTATCATATCTTCCCGGGGATCGACGATGAATTGTGTCTGCGTCCTTGTTCTCCTCCCGAGATCTCCAGGGCATCGAAGCCCTCGGCCATCTCCAACTCCCGCAGCCCGTTCTCGTGGACCTCGACCCCCCAGTCTCCGCGTTGAAAGCCGTTCGCCAGGCGCCACCACGCGCGGTGATCTCCAGGTCCGCCCCCGCGTCGATCGAGGAACCGCATCACCCACTCGACTGTCCTGGGGCCCTGGACCGGCCAGTCCGAGAAGGGGGTCGTGACGCCAGGCTCGACGCCCTGCCTCCAGGGCCTGCGGCGACCCGCGCCAGCTCGTCGGCTCGCGGCGGGGGGGCAGCCTGCGATCCGGTTCCGCCAGCAGGTGCCCCAGCGGCGGCCCTGGCCGGGCCCCACGCCAGGACCCCCGTTCCGTCGATCTCGCAGCACGAACTCGTCCCGAGCGGCGAGCCTCGCCAGCCTCTGAACTCCCGAGCTCTGCCGGCGTGACCTCCCGGAGGAACCGATACGAGTCCCTCGGCACACCTGGAGGCGGTGGCCGGCGAGAGTCGTTCCATCGCACTGCCGCCACGTTCGGGTCCGTCCCGCCGTCGGGCGTCGCGGTGACCACCTCAATCGCTGCCGCTGGAGTACCCGCCAAGACTCCCAGCACCAGCTGCTGGTGGAACAGAGCGGCCCCCGCGTACTGGACTCAGGTTCACACCTGCACTTGGACCAGCGCCATCCCGAAAAGCGTCTCTGACTCGGCAAGAACCCCCAGCACGAACGGGCCGTGAGCCCGAGCACCACGAAGACACCGTGCACCACGACGCCCAGGTGCGCGCCGAGCACATCCAGCACCAGCCTCGCCGCCCATCCCAGGGCGCTCCAGCCGTCGGAGCTACTCGGGGGGGCGCATGCGCGGGAGGCTCCGCCTACGCGCGCGCCGCCGGCGCCTCGCGCCTTCACGCGGGCGCCCTCCCTTCAGCGGGGGCCTCTGGCGGCGCCGGGCAGCCCGCTGGCGCGCAATGCACCGTTGGCGCCGCGGGGCACCAGAGCGTCGGGCACGCGGGCACGTCCGCGCAGTGCCGGTCAGGGCACCGCGGGCACGCCGAGACCTCTGGCCACCAGAGGCGGTCCACACCCGAATGGACCGTCCAAGCTGCCAGCCAGGCTATTGCGGCCGAGACACCGGGGCTCGGTTGCATGATGGGCTTGAGTCAGGAAGGCTGCGGACGACCCACTCCTGCACTGCAAGAAGCAAAGATGAACCTCTAAAGATCGGTTTAGGAGGAGGAGGAGGAGGAGGAGGAGGAGGATGAGGAGAAGAAGGAGGACGACGACATCGAAAGGAGGAAGCGACACAAACCCTCTCGGCAGGTAGATGCGACATCGCCTGGGAGGCCCAGCAGCCTTGGGGGAGGCCCAAGGTTAGGCCCTAGGCACAAGCAGAGAACAGCCTGGGCACAATCTTACAAATCCCAAACACAACAACCATGCCACACAATTTGAAAATCATGCCTCCTCTGCTCGTTGGAGGATAGCGGCCTGCATGGTAGACCTGCTAACCTCATCACACTCAAGACGCTGCCAGAATCCTTCGGGACCACCGCCGCCGCTACCACGGACCAGTATGCTCTCGGCTTGCTCACAACAAATCCAAAATCGATCAGACCATCGGCGACGTCGGTCGTGACCTGGACGCGAGAAACGCGCTGATCCGCCAGACCGTCTGCCATTGCGACGGCATCCCTCAGCCCTGTCTGGCTAGTACGCACTAGGGATTGTTCACGATTTCCACGCTGGGCGAGAATCTGGCTGTGCGGTTGGTTTGTGTGGCGCAGTAAGTGCGCGCCATGCCGCTCATGTGCCTTTGCTGACATACGGCGTGCTGACGTCGTCGTCCTTCATCTCCGCCCGCGACAAACCTGATGCAAGCGACTCTGGCAGGGTTTTCCGCAGGTGCTCTGACCACCATCAGCTGCCATCACGTGCACGCGTTTTCTAGCGACTGAGATACACTCGTCCCAATGGATTAGAACACGTACTGTCACGCACACACCTGTTATATACTACGAACATGCACGGAAGAACACGACTTCTTATACGCTCAAGAAAACGACTGTATCCTGGCGAGTCACAACAAACTCACACATCCAAGCTACGGACGTCGAAAGAAGGAACCACATAGACGGCGATAGTCACCCTTCTCCCCATCCAGAGCCTTCTCCACCTCGAGGAAGGAAGAGGGAGGAGGATGAGGAGCAGCAGCAGCAGCAGGAGGATAGAGGAGGAGAGAGGAGAGGAGGAACAGAGGGCAGAAGGAAGGAGGGGGGAGGAGGAGAAAGGGGAGCAGGAGCAGGTGGATAGAGGAGGAAAACACAGGAGGACAGGAGGAGGAAGAGGAGGGAGAAGGAAGGAGAAGGAAGGAGGAAAGGGAAACGGAGAAGACGAAGAGGGGAGGGAAGAGGGAACGGGAGGACAGAGGAGGAGGAGGAGGAGGAGGAGGAGGAGAAGGAAGGAGGAGGAAATGAGAGGGAGGAGGCAGCGGGAGGAGAGCGAAAAAGGAAGAGGGAGTAGGAGGAGGACGAGGAATCCAAGTGGAAAGAACGACGATCAACGGAAGAGGAAAGAGACTGGCCAAGCTGCTACATTCTCGGCACTGCCGTCTGTGCCAGACCTTCGACAGGCTGCTCTTTTTAACACGTGGGGAACCGGGGATCTCTCGACCAACACACTCGCGCACATGGACTTCGAGCCGTGGGCCGATCAGAACGTGTCTTAGCGCCAACGTATGCTTGCCCACCGAGGCCCTTCAATACGACATAGGCCGCGCATCGAGGGCCGACACAGGCTCCGAAAACACGGCGGAAACAAACGGGGTAAACACACGTTTGGGCTAAAACACATCATGACGATCATCGAATCTATCTGGGCCCCGTGGCCCAGCACAACAGGCCTTTCCGTAGGCCCAAACCCCGCATCACTGGCCGCCCAAACCACTGAGATCCGAGGTCGGAACCCTCGACGCCACGTTCCTGCGGCACTCCTCGGGCCAGATCGATCCGGCCCGAAGCTGCACGAGAACGCCCTGCGATCCGACACAACGAGAAAAAATCAACATCGGAAAAATCAACCAGAGCCCTGGGCCCCAGCTTCTGCGGCACTGTTCGAACCGGCCCGATCTGTGAGGGCCCCAGGGCGCGAAGCGATGCCAGGATCTCAAGGTCAGCCCAACCCCTGAGGTTTTCGGGACATACCTCGGTTCTCCAGCGGCCGTTCGAAACGATCCAAGCACCCCCGGAACTCCCTCGGCGAGGCGCAGCCGCTGGAACGCACCCCGAGGCTGGAAGACCGCCGAGGACTGACGAAAACGCCCGAAAACCCCGAACCTCGAACCTCGAGGGTTCGACGACAGAATCTCACGGGCGACGCCCGGATCTCGAGGGCCTACCACCTAAAAGAACCCGCGGTGGCCCGCCCCCCCCGCGGGGAGGGAGGCCGACGAGGCCGAGCGGGAGGAGCTCGAGGTGGACGGCATGGCTCCAAGGCGCCGCCGGAGCACGCGCGGCCAGGGGGCCGCTGGGCGGCCCTGGAGAACGCAGGCGTGTGTAGCTCTGGCTCCGTGTCTTGCGCACGTTGAGGTTCCCTCCCCCGCGCCCCGCGCGCGCCTCCCCCTGCCCGCCGTGCCTCTCTCGGTTGCATCCGGCCGTCGCTCGCACACTGCTGACTCCTCGCGGCCGCCGACCCAAAAGTGCACGCTGAGGCGTGGACGAATGCCAAGGTCTGCACTATTCGGTTAGAGGGCGAAGATGGGAGCGAAGAACAACGATTCAAGCAATTAACCTCGCCAAACGCACCGTTGACAAAGCATGCCCCCCGCAGAGATGTCCTGCGAACTTGGCCAATTTCTGGCAACGGAGGCACGCAAGCTGAACAAGCAAGGACAACTTTCGCCGGGGACGGTCCTCAAATCGAGGACAGGCCGCTCCACCCTGAAGTGAAGAGATGGCCTGCATAGGCGGCAACGGGCAACGAAAATGCCACGAATTACACATGCGGAAGGAGAGGGAGGAGGACGACGACGAAAAGAAGCAGGGCGACAGGTGAGAAAGCGCATCAAAAGCAATGGTCACAGCTGGGCGCGCCCAAATTTGCGTTCCAACGGGGCACGGTTGCCAGCCAGGGGGCCTCCGCACTGGTCAATCTAACGAACTAACACGTACTGACGCATTAAACTAAGGAGACAGGGAGAGACAATATTGAATGTAAATACACCACGCAAGCTGCATCTACTCGTCGACGACGCTCTGTGTCACCGATCAATCTGGAATCGGCCACGCTCGCATTGGACGAATGTCTGCTCGCATCTCGCGCTTGCCCCTGGGTGGCCCTACCCTGCACGCGGAAGACGGCGGTGGCGCAACAGGCGGCCTAGATCAAAACCGCAGTGCACCCAAGACGCTCCAAGAGGCCTCGGCGAGAATGCCAAAATCATTGATTTTAGTTTTGGCCACCTTTTGGCCTCCTGGGGGGGGCACTGATTAAGAGAACTCGAAGAGCGCCTGGGAGAGCACAAGATGACCTCCAAGATGGCTCAGAATATCCCAAGATGCCTCAAAGTGGCCCCCACGATGCCCCAATAGGCCCAGAGACAACTCCAAGACGGTTCCAAGTGGCCAAAGAATTCCCCCTGGAGGCCCTGAAAGGGCCAAAATCCTTCCAAGGCTTAGGAAAATCAATGTGTTTGGCTGTCTTGCCTTTTCGCTTCCGATGGCCATCCGAAACCTCGAGATGGTTCCAACATGGCCCCGAGACGGCCCCAAGACCGCCCAAGAGCGCTCCAAGAGGCCCCAAGAGCGCCCCAAGAGGCGACTGCTTGGGCTCCCGAGGGGCAGCGTTGGTTAATGCTCCCCTCCCGTTTGATCGATGTCCTCCGAAATGGCCCCAAGAGCGCTCCCAAGGCCCCCAAGAGCGCTTCAAAAGGGCCCCAAGAGGCGCCCAGGAAGCCCCAGGAAGCCCCAACACGCGCCCAAGAGAACTCCAAGAGGCTACCAAAAGACCCCCAAGAGGCCCCAAGAAGCTCTCCGAGGCACCCAAGACGCACTAAGAGATGCCCGGGACCGCCAGGAGGCCCCCAAGACGCTCCAACTGGCCTCCACTGGGAGACCCTTCCACTGCGTGCTGCCTACTTCCCTGATCGAGGCAATTCCTCGGGGCATCGTTTCTGGATGGGGTGGTGGGTCTAGAATTAAATGAGACGAGCAATGAATATTGAGGCCGCCATAAGTCTCTGACTCTGCCTTCTCGTCTTCCCCGAATTGCGAGCGAGGTCGCCCGCAGCACGTTGAAGTCGCATCCAGACACCGCGACACGTTCCCCGCTCCAGGAGTCTGAGAGCATGCTCCATGGTCGACAAGCGCAGAAGACCCAAACGAGCGAACTGAATGTCCACCTGACCCAACAAGTTCGCGCGAATCGGATTGCCGTCATCCTCGTCGATCACAATCATCTCTGGGTCCTCCTCAGGGACATCCAAGTGCCAAGACATCCATTCCATTGCGGCACCGCCACCGCATGATAGCAGCGGTCCGCATTCTCACAGCGACGTTGTATTATCCGACGGGGCGGCTGCCGAAACGAGCGCATGCGTCTTCGCGCCCTGGAGTTTGCTATCCTTCGCCCCGCTAGAAAGCCAATTCGCTGGCTTCTGCTTCTCCCAGGCCTCGGTACCCGTGCCTCCACCCAGGAAATGCGACACTGGCAATAATAGATGTCCTGATCGTGACATCGATAAGTCGAAAGTAAGCGCTCCCGGGGGGTGAGTGATTCGGGCCCCCCTCCTGGTCCGCACACGCACAGCTCGCGATTGAGTATGTCCAGCACTGCCCGATTGTACCCGAGGCTTCGCTGCACCCACAGCGCGGGGATATCGGATTTGGGAACCACCACTGCCAAATAATCTATCTGGTGAATATTGCACGGGACGGCTTCTGCAACGCCAGGCACCCTGATCTCCTCCTCGGCGATCAGAGCGCCTGCGCCAACACATTCCACGCATATTGACATGCACGCCCATCTCCGTCTGCATCGGCGCCAGCCGCGCCTCGCGAGCCAACGCGCCTTGTCGTTCGACCCATATGCTGCCAGCCAGATTGTCGCAGGCTCCCGGGTCGATCAGCAAGCATTCCACACCATCGATCCTCGTCGCTTCAAGGAATGCCTGCCTGGTCTCGCCGTACCTCTCGAACACAGGGCCCATGAACCACATCAGAACGGAGGTGTCCGCGCTCTCGGCCAGCGCACCAGATGGCTGGCCGCGTCGGTCTCCTCCCGCGGCAGGCGCATCCGCGTCTGCCTCATCATTTGCAAGGTCTCAATGCCGACTGCCACGTACTCCGACGGAGTCGAAAGCAGGCCCCATGATTATGTTGTTGAATTGGTGCTAGGTCTATAATCTCTATAAAGAATAAAATGTATAGGAATGAGGCGTCGTGCTGAGGCCGCGTGCAGGTGTCGGCATCCAGAAAGGCATCGCCGACAAGCGATCGGAAGGTATCTGGAAATATTGTTATTTTCTGTTGCAGGGTATCGTTTATTCTAAGGGTATCGCTTAGTTTGGACTTGTTGTTTGCCAGGGTATCAATTATGATATGCGCGAGCTGGCCTGGCTCGCAACTGGCGCCCCCCGTCCACGAGTGCACGCCATGAGTCCCCGTGAGCACCCATGAGGACCGCTAAAGGCCCATGGGGGACCTCAAGAGACCCCATGGAGGGACCCCATAAGACCTCATGAAAAGGCCCCAGAAGGCCCCATGAGCACCCCATAAGACCCCCACGATGGCTTCACAAGGTGGATCGGCGGAGCGGACGCCGAGAGGCATCAAGGCATAGGCAACTCCGACGGCAGGCAAAAAAAGAAGATGAGGGAGGGTTCATGACCAGAGCCCCCCCAGCGTTCGGGGCGGTCGGTTGCGAGCGCTACGCTCGCCGTCGATGCCAAAGCTAACGTATTTCCCGATCTAAAAATCGATGCCGCAGACGGTTGGACAAGCAGACACCGCGAAGGGACCGCAGAGACCACATGAAGGCGCCAGAAGTCCCCACGAGGACCCACGCGGCCCCAAGAGACACCGCGAGAGACCCACGACCCCATGAAAGGACGCCAGAATACCGCGCGAGGACCTCAACAGACCCCATGAGGACCCCATCGGACCCCATACGGTGGATCGGCGGAGCGGGCGCAGAGAGGCATCAGGCATGCGAGGCCACGGCGAGGAGAGGCTGAAAACTTGGACGTAGGCACGGGAGTGAGACGACCAATAAAACTGGGAGTGGCACCTGACCCGTCTTTCAGGGCCCATCATAAGTTTTGCTCTGCAAACTGGCGCGTGCTTCCAGGCCCAGGCCCGTAGCAAGGAGAATATTATCGAGCCCCTTCGGGAGCTAGGCGGCGCCCTTGAACTTGATGGCGCTGCCGGCCGCCCCCTTCAGGGCGATAGGCTGGAGGTCCGACCCCTGGATCCCCCACGGGCTGGCCGCCTTCTTGAAGGCCTGCACGGCCTTCGTGCGCTGCTCGGCCCTGCCCTCCAGCGCGAGCGCCTGGATGACCTCCCCCTCCAAGACAACCATGGCCATATTGCGCAGCTGCTCTGCGGCGCCCTGGGCGACCGCCTGGAACTCCTCCGTCGGCGAGCCGCAGGTCTGGTAAAGCTCCTCGAGCGCGGCGCGGTCCTCGGGAGGTCGGGGGGGAATGCCGAACGCTATGTTTTTGCACGCATTCAGCCAGCCCCCAAGGGCCAGGAGCACGCGCCCACGCGACCGCGCGCCGCCACCCCGCGCTCGGCCCGTTGGCGCCGAAGCGGGGGGGGGGGGGCGAGAGAGGGGGATGTGGCGGTGGAGGTGCGGAGGCCCCCTTACGACCGCCTCCACTCCTCATCGCACCCGCCCCCCCTCCCCCTCATCGTCCTCGCCCCCCTTTTTCGCGCTGCTCCCTCCTCTTCGTGCTCTTCGCCCTCGTGGTCCCCATCCACCCCGCCCTCTCCCTCAAGCGCCACCCCGTCCTCCTCCGCGGATTTCTCGTCGCCCCCCTCGCCCTCCCCCTCGTCCACCCCCCTCTCGAGCTCCCCCCGATGTCCCTCCATCGCCCTTCCCCCCACCATCGCACCCCGTCTTCCGCCTGCGCCGCCCTCGCCCCATCCTTTCCGCCCCCCCCGTCCCCCCCGTTGTCGCCCTTCCTCTCCGCCCCCCATCCAACCTTTCCGAGCCCTTAGCATCAGGCCCGATGGATTCGGTCCTTCTGCAGCTCCGAGATCGCAGCGTCGAGCTGCTTGGTCTGCACCTTGGCGTCCGCCCACGCCTTCTGGATGTCCTCAAGCTGGCAGTTGTCCTGGAACGTCTTCCACTCGGGCGCCGTCGCGCCCTCCAGCGACCCCTTGAAAGAGTCGGTGGCCTTCGTCATTCACTCTGTTTTGTTGGCCGTGACAGCGCGAACCTCATCCGAGTGCTCACTCGGCAACGCTTCAGGGGCATGGATCCCTTTGACGCCAGCGGCCTCCGCAGCTTTCTGGCACATGCTGGCGACGTTCTCCAACGCCA